CACTTCCTATAGTCGGGGTGCAGCAGTTCTTTCAGGCTGCTGGTAACGATCGTGGAGGTGGTTTGTCAGCCAGGCTGTCCCCAGTCCTGACCCTGAACAGGACGGCCAGCGGGCTGTGGATCAGAGCAGCCACTTCTCCCAGTCGGGCAAGGAGCTTCACACCTCCCTGTGCCTGGACTTCGTCCCCCTGACAGGTCCCACCAGGGATGCGCCTCAGCCTAAGCAGGATGATCCCCATATGACGGTCTGTATTCACTTGTTAGTATTACTGGGAAGCACCACTCTGGTCTGCTGGCCAAGATGTCAATCTTCTCACATCGTTAGCGGTACTCATGGGGGTCTGGACAGACTTCTGCTGACTCAACGAAGCCAGTTAAGAAACAAGCAGTCCCACCTTGAATCCATAATTTTTCGTTCCTTAAAACGAACCAGTCTTCAACGAATCAATTTATCCAACCGAACATTTACCAGGCCCCTGAACTGAACATGTCGCCCCCCGCCATGCTTCTCCTTCTGGGTGGCCTGTCTCCATGAATGGCAGCTCCGGCCACTGAGCTGCCTAAGCCAGTAACCTGGGCAGGGTGGTGGCTGCCTCCCCTTCCTCACCACATCCAGTGCAAACACCCTGTCCTACAGAGTCTGCCTCCTGTACCCCTCCCCTCGGCTGCACAGCCAGGTACTTCTGCTCAGAACACACTTCCCACCCACTCCTGCCCTGTGCATCTCAACAGACACACCCAGTTCCCCAGGGAAGCCTTCCTGAGGTCTCCCCGGGTGCCTGAGCCCGTGGGGGTGCCTGCCCACCCTCCCATCCGAGTGCTTACCACACTGGGTTGTACTTGCTGGACGTGTCCAGGACCTGGAGGAGAAGCTGGCGCATTGCGGATGCTGGAGAAGCACTTGTTTAATGAAGGACTGGGCCACTGTCAGGCCACTGGACCTGGTCCTGCCCAGCAGAGCTGTCAGCCGCCTTGCTTATGCCTCTCTTTGTGTGTGCGTGGGGTGAGGGGTGCTTTGTTGTTGTTACTAGGTGCTGTTGAGTCTGTTCTGACTCCTACTGACCCTATGTACAACAGAACAAAACACTGCCTGGTTCTGTGCCATCCTCACAATTGTTATGCTCGAGCTCATTGTTGCAGCCACTGCGTCAATCCATCTCGTCAAGGGTCTTCCTCTTTTTCACTGACCCTCTACTTTGGCAAGCATGATGTCCTTCTCCAGGGACTGGTCCCTTCTGATAACATGTCCAAAGTACGCGAGATGAAGTCTCACCATCCTTGCTGCTAAGGAGCACTCTCGCTGTACTTCTTCCAAGACAGATTTGTTCATTCTTCTGGCAGTCCATGGTATATTCAATATTCTTTGCCAACACCATAACTCAAAAGCATCAATTCTTCTTTGGTCTTCCTTGTTTATTGTCCAGCTTTCACATGCGTATGAGGTGACTGAAAATACCATGGCTTGGGTTAAGCACACCTTAGTCCTCAAAGTGACTTCTTTGCTTTTTGACACTTTAAAGAGGTCTTTTGCAGCAGATTAGCCCAATGTAATCCATCATTTGATTTCTTGACTGCTGCTTCCATGGGCATTGATTGTGGATCCAAGTAAAATGAAATCCTTGACAACTTCAATTTTTTCTCTGTTTATCATGATGTTGCTTATTGGTCCAGTTGAGAGGATTTTGTTTTCTTTATGTTGAGGTGGAATCCATCCTGAAGGCTGTGGTCTTTGATCTTCAGCAGCAAGTGCTTCAAGTCCTCTTCACTTTCAGCAGGCAAGGTTGCATCATCTACGTAATGCAGGTTGTTAATGAGTCTCTAATGATGATGTTGCGATCTTCCTCATATAGTGCAGCTTCTTGGATTATTTGCTCAGCATACAGATTGAATAAGTACGGTGAAAGGATACAACCCTGGCACACAGCTTTCCTGACTTTAAACCATGCAGTACCTCCTTGTTCTGTTCGAACAACTGCCTCTTGGTCTAAGTACAGGTTCCTCATGAGCAAAATTAAGTGTTCTGGAATTCCCATTTTTCACAACGTTATCCATGATTTGCTATGATCTACACAGTTGAATGCCTTTGCATAGTCAGTAAAACCCAGGTAAACATCTTTCTGGTGTTCTCTGCTTCCAGCCAGGATCCATCTGACCTCAGCAGTGACACCCCTGGATATGAGGTGCTTGGAATGCAGTTTCTTTTACGAAATGATGGCAATTGTTCATGGATTAGACTCTTGTTTCCAGTTTTTAATATTCTTACCTGGTACAATTAAGAGTTGCTGACTCTGCAGGTTCCTCAACTGTTTGGAACTCTCAAACCTAAGAACCACTGGTCTCGTGTATCCATACCAAAGAGAGCCCCAGACATGTGGCACCTCCCCTGCCATGTTCTTCAGCCCCTCCCAACGCCACCACATCTACTTGAGTGGAGAGCAGAAGGGAGGGCAGGGCCAGATCGATTGAAAAACAAACCCTGCTATTTTATTCAATAACAAGCTAAGGCTGAATAAGAACGTGAAGCTGTAGCAGGAGACATGTCATCAGGGCCAAGACGGCAGGAGGCAGGGGACCGTGGGCCCTGCCCTGGCTCTCCCACCCATGAAGGGATGCTGGACACAAGGCGGGGATTGCTGGTCTTCCTCAACTTGCCACAGGGTAGGCCCCAGAGACAGGGGCACCCGAAGCCCTCTGAGCAGCTGTGTGGAGCGCACCCTATTCCCAGAAGGGTGACCAGGACTCGCCGACCTCCCACGTGCTGTCTGTACAGATGTGCCCTCACTCACGCCTGCCCTGCCTGAGAACAGTGTTGTGTCTGTTGCCATGGAAATGGCGGGGAAGCCACAGAGTCAGGCCTGCCAGCACAGCAGGACTTAGGGACATGTGATTTCCATGGCAGCAGCAATGGCCATGGCCTCAGTGTAACAGGCCTCAGGTGTGCCCATGAGTCCACCAGCTCCGGCTTCCGGCTGCAGCGTGCCGGCTCTGTACATCATTTGCCTTCCTTCTTTGACCGTAAAAGGGACCCTGTTCAGACTGGCCTCTTCCCTGCCTGACAAGAGCTCAGGGAAAAGAGTACTGTACTAGGAGACCATTCGGAAGGTCCCCTGGGAGAAAGGAACGCCGGGAGACCAGCACAGCTGGGGTTAAGGGCGTCTGAGGAGACAGGCAGGCTTGTGTCTCCATCTTGGCTGTGTGGCTTGGGGAGAGTTTCTTAACGTCCCAGAACCTCTGGCTCTTTACTTCTAAAGAATGAATAATATTACCTCCTTGAGAGCTGTATAAGGATTAAATGAGACAATGCACGTAAAACGCTAGCATGGCACCTGCACGTAATAATTCTTCAATAAGCGGAAGCTGCCGCTATAACCACCACCACTGCTATTACTACCATCACCTCCAATACTACAGCTACTGCTATCACCACCACCAATACTACAGCTCTCACCAGTGCCACCATCACGACCACCACCATCACCACCACCAGTACTACTGGTACCACTGCCACCAACAATCATCACCACCATCACCACCATCACCCGACTTCTACCACTATGACGACCATCACCACTACTCCTACCACCATCATCATCACACCGCTACTGCCACCACTGCCACCACCACTAGTCTTACCACTGCCGTCACCACCACAGCCGCCGCCCCTCCTAGGGCCATTCCTTTTGGTCGGAGATGAAGTTCCTACCCACATGGCACAGGATAAACTGGCCAACTCAGCTGCTCCATCAAAGCAGAGAGCAAGGTACCTCCGAAGGGTCAGGGAAGGACAGGACAGAGTTTGGAGGCTGGGTGAGGCCCAGGCTGTGTCAGCCCCACAGTGGGGTCCCCACCAGGGCTCGCTTCCTCCCACCTGGTACCCGCTGCCCCCGGCAGCTCCACAGCCCCCCCCGGGGATGCACTGCGAGGCCGAGCAGTGTCCTCACTGACCTGCTTGTCGGACGGGGCCGCTGTCCATGCTTCCTCCGAAGCCGAACTTGTCACAGAACGGGGGAGCCCAGTGGGCCTCGCAGTGGCAGTTCTTCCTGTTGTTGCATACCTTCCGAGGGGGCAGGAGGACACCAAGAGGGAGTGGGGTTAGGGCACACCTCCACTCAGTCCCTAAGCCAGCACCCCGGCCCACCCCAGCACCCGTACACCCAGCCTCAGAAATGCCACCACGAGAATGGGCCCAACGCAAGCAGCAGAGGGGGGCCAGAGCCTGACACTGTCATGGCCACACGGCCTGCCTGCTGGTGGCTGTCACGAGAAGGACCGAGACTACCGGGGCTCATCCACTCCTTCGACCCCGTGCCTTCTCCTCCCAGCCCATCTCCTTGCCTGTCTTTTTAAATACAGGAAACGCTCACCATCTGACTTAATGACAAACCTCTACTCATCTTTAAGGCCTATTTACAGTTTCTCTCCAAAGCTATTTCTACATTTCCTCCTAAGAACTGGCCAATCACCTTCTTTGTGATGTTTTCCCTAACAATCTTCACAGACATCCATTTAGGACCCCTGTGAACTCCGTGGTCTTATGAGAAAATGGTTATTTAGACTTCGGCTGACTGGCTGTGTCAAAGGCAGACACATTACATCCCTCAGAGCCTGCTGAGCCTGCCATGCTCTCTAGTTAAAACAGCTGACTGGACAGTCATGTTCAGTCAGTCCCATGTGAAAACAAGCTAAACTGGATGATAAAATCACAGGGCTAACTTTAAAATAGGCTGGTGGAGACGCATTAAAATGTGTGTTGGGATGCTGGGTAGAGACTGGCCAGCTGAAGATGACCCTTCTCAGCAGTGAGGAGAGCCCTGTTTCAGGGGTGAGGACTAACAAGAGGACGGTTTCTGACATGGCGAGAAAGGGGAGCCTGGGGCGGGGGAGGAGGGCGAGCTCCACCCCTGGTGGGCCCTGAACGAGGACCCTACTAGGACACCTGAGAAATCATGGAGGAGCCAGGGAGCTCCTGATCAAACGGTCGCCAAGAGATACCAATGGCGGCTGTTTGCCGACCAGTTCCCGGCCACTGTACTTGTTACGTTACATGTGTAATATACGCAGCTAGGACGACATGAGCCAATAACACTGAACATGAAAACAAGACGCTGTTGTTTCTACAAAAATTAGGCCGAAGGCTTTGGGAACACTGGATCAAGGCAAGTCACTGAAAAGAATTTCTGACAAATCAGGAGTAGGCGGGGCAGTGACAGCTGATTGGGCAAAGTTACAAAAGCCAAGATGGATTCCGCTCAGATTGCTTTTGAATGTCTGAGCTTTCCCTCCAGCTAAAGAAACAAACACATTGCTGGGGTTGCATTTTGGGCGGTTTCTATCACGGAGGTCCACGCGGAACCACAGTCAGCAGACCAAGGTTTCTATCACGGAGGACCACTCTGAACCACAGTCAGCAGACCAAGGTTTCTATCACGGAGGTCCAC